AGGGGGAGAAGGACATCCATAGGACAAGGGGGAGCTGTGAGAGGGCAGTGAGCTGTCCCTCTCATCTCCCAGTCAGTGCCCTCTATTTCAACTGTCTCTCTGTTGTTGGAAGGTGCTGGTCTTCCCACCTGCTACGTTCGCCACAGAGAAAGGTCAAGGGGCACTGGATGTTTCTCTGCCGAGGGGGGACACAAGGAGCGGACACGCCACCTCACACCTATTATTTCCCTGCTATGTTCTTGCCATACACACAGAGAAGTTAGATAAAAACAGTTAGAGTCACAATTGAGTATTGCTTTAATTTTTCCTCTAAGATTTATAAATGTACTGTTGTTAAGGGTACGAACTGTATGCTACCATTAGAATTTTAAAGATAGTATTTAATTCTATTGATCAAGATAATCTTTGGGCAAAATTAAGAAGGATGGGTATCGATCTAAAACTTCTGAACATTTTGGAGGCTCTCCAGAGTGATGTGTGTCGGGTAAAGGCAATGGAGAATGTTTTCCCAGTGGCTTAGGGAGAACACCAGGGATGCCTTCTAGCACCTCTTGTTATTAATTTATATATTAATGATACAGTGGATGTTATAAAGGAAAATTAATTTTCTCCACCACACATTAAAGGTAGACTTATCTCGGTGTTATATATGCTGATGACATGGTTATTTTACCGCAAACTCCATGAGGCATCTTCTGGCTGTTATCTCAATTTTCCTCTTATTTTAACTTCCAAGACCAAGTCACGATTTCTGGGAAGAAGCATCTGCAAATTGAGCGGAAGATCGGAGGCCACCCTGTAGAACAAGTCTCTGCTTTGACTTATTTGAGGATAAAGTTTCATGATTCAGGCAGCTGGTCCCCTTATCATAAAGACTTAGAACAAAAGGCCCTTAGCTCTGTTCAAGGGGTGCTGTGTTTTACCTGATCATTTGGTGGGAGCAGAGTTGCCCCAGTGCTAAGAATTTTTAATAATAAAATAATATTGCAGATGCTCTATGAGCATGTCTACATCGTAAAAATGGAAAAACTGGGGCTGTCCCATGCAAGCTGACTCAGGCTTGTGGGGTTCGGGCTGTGGTGGTTTCATTGCTGTGTAGACTTCTGGGTCCGGCTGCAGCCCAAGCTTTGGGACCGTCCCACCTCACAGAGTCCTAGAGCCCAGGCTGTAGCCCCAGTATCAGACATCTAACCAGCAGTGAAACAGCCCCACAGCCTGAGGCCAGCCACGGGTGTCTAGTTGCTGTGTGGACATTCCCTCTGAGGTCACAATTGGATTAGGGGATCAAATTTCAGCCTTAGAGATCAGCTATGCTGCTGTAGGTCTTGTAGTTTAGACATACCCTAAGCGTCTAGCCCTTAATACTCACAGCTCTGCTTCACTTGGTGAAAAACTAACCGTTATCAGGGGTACAGTTGTTCTACCTCATTGATCCTACTTGGGCTCCAAGTGAGCACTGACTCCATTACAGAAGTTTGGAAATTTCCTTCAGTTTCCCTGGCTACCGCTGTAGCCCCGTCACTTCTCATTCTCTTTATCAGTGATTATTCATATAGTATACCACATGATTTGTTTGTAATAAGAAAGCTGATACACTCTGTTGATATGTTGTGAAACCAATGGAAAGTGAAAACCTGTAAAGTGAAGCCCATTGAAATCTCATAAGTGCTATTCGGCCATTTCACCTGATGATCCATTGGACTGGCATTTCTGAAGAGATCTCATAACATAGGTAGCCATCCTTCTTAGTAGCAGATGAAGTGTAGAGAATAACCAGGTAAGGGGTACAGAGAGGACAGCTGTTTTCTTTTACTGTGCCATTAATGTTGCAGCATGATGAGCTATGATCTCTCTCTCTATATATGTTTTCTCTTTAATATTCACCAATCCCTACCAGACCCCACCAGACATATACCCCATCAATGATGCCTTGTTTACAATTACATTTTGAGACCTACCAGTTAACCAGCTTTTAATCCATTTAATGTAAGCCATGTTAGTTTTATATAATTCATTTTTTAAATCCAAATGTCCCGTGGTACCAAGTTAAATATCTTACAGATGACTAAGTATATTATATCAACAACATTATCTTCATAACCCAAACTGGTATTTTCATAAAATATATTAAGTTAGTTTGACCAGACCTCTTTTCCATAAACCCATTTGATTGGCAATAATTCTGTTACTTGCCTTTAATACTGTATTAATCCGGTCTGTATCAATTACTCCGTTATCTTTCCTGCGATTGATGTCAGACTGACAAGCCTATAATAACCCAGGGCTTTCTGTTCACTCGTTTTAAGTTCTGGCACAATAATAGCTTTCTACCAGTCTTCTGCAACTTCCCCAGTGTTCAAGACTTATTGAAAACCAACATTAATAGTTCAACCAGCTTCTCAGACAACTTCTTTCAAATACACAAGTTTCTCCAAAATACTCTCAGTACTCTTTCTAGTGAGATCACCTGGGTAATGAAACTTCCTCAAACTTCAGGGTTCTGTTTTCCTATATTGTTCTATATTTTTGTATATAGTTTCTAAAATGGACATTATGCTGCCAATCAAGTCCCAGCTTGATCTTGTCTATCTGCTATGGACTTCTAGGAATAAAGCAAATAATACAGAAGAAACTGATAAAAGGTGAAATTACTTCGTAAGTGAGTGAGAGTTTGTGGTTAGCTCCGCTAGCAACTGTTGCTTTTACTCAATCTAACTCCTCTGTGAGCCACAGATGCAACATCTGCTATTAGACATGTTTTAAGGGCTTAGCCCTAAGTTCTGTAAAGGATTCTTGCTCATCCCTGGACATATATGACACTATTAAAAATACTAATTACTTGGGACCAAACTCTATGTGTATGTGTGTGTGTATTACTTGTGCACCTTGTTCATACAGTATTGATTAATATTCTTAGTGAATGTTTTTTTTATTTTTCCTATTTTTATGCATCCATCCCATTACAGAGATGTTTCAAATCCTTGGAAAATCACAGAATATACTTCATAATATTGAGGATGCTTTGAATCATGAATATACGTGTGCGGTGTATAAGAATTGAGTATTATTCTTTTAAACCGTTGGGATCATGTAGCCATCAAAATTGTTTGAGCAGAAGTCTCCATGGAAAACCAGACCTAGTATTTTTGTGCCCAGTAATATACACAGTTCTGTGGAATGCAGCAGGGCCTGCCGGGTTTTCCTGTAGCCTTTGTGTGTCGTAGAGAGCAAGGGCACAACAGGTCCCTCTAAAATGACTTTGACAGTCTTTGCCATGACAAAGCCGGGATCTGAACATGACCATGGATGATGGAGCTCCCCGCAAGTCAGCAGAGCTGGCTCCAGCAGAGCTCAGTCTTCATGCAGGGTTGGGCCCTCCCCCTCACCCTGAAAATCCCTAAGTTTCTCTGTGGATTGGGGGGGCAGCAGCCTCCATTGGCAGCCTGCTGAAGAGTGTAGATGGGCGCAACCTGGAGGCC